ATTTGGTGGGTAATGAGAAGCCATGGAGAGGGGTGATGGGACCCCAACTTCCAAGTGGATGGATAGCTCCACTTAGTCCCCTCAACCACAATACCCTCCCCTCACTTCCTGAATCATCCCTCACTCGGACACTCCCAGGACTCTGCCAGCTTGAGACCCCTGTCATGTGACCCTCACTCTGCCTTCCCCTACCCCTGTTCACCCTGGTGCTCTGGCTGGGTAAGGAACCTGGGTTCTAACAGGGCAAGAGCAACCTTGCTGCAGAAGCTCGTGGGAACTGTCCAAGGTGCTGAACCGATGCCACGCCCAGTTTTAAGTACTCCCATTTTAATGATTGGCTCCCACACCACTGTTTCTGTTGGACAGAGAATTTCATTCCCATCTTATAGATGAGAACTGGAAGCCCCAAGAGTTCGAAGAACCAGAGCTAGGAACTTGGTTTCTTGCCTTTCAGCCCAGGGCTCTTTTCTCGCACTCAGCAGCCCCAATGTAGTCCAGCATTGCATACCCGAAGTGATTCCATTGCTGCTGCCAAGCTAACATGTAAAATGCCCAGACTCTCTTCCCACTTCCATCCCTATGTTCATTTCCCCAAACACTGACAGGTATGTCCACCCCACAGCGCCTCCTGACACTGACCACTGAGGGTGATCCACAGGTGCTTGGGTGGATCTGCCTGGAACAGCAGCTGTGCACGTTTATGGCTTTATTGCATTGGGAATCCCTGGGCATAACTCATCCTGGCACTCTCCTTGGAAGGGAGTGCCGGGTTTGAGGGAAGCAGTGTTCTCCCACACTGTCACATTTCACCAGCAATTACTGCCCTTTTACTGGGCATCTAGTGTTCCAGGCCCTGAGCCGTGAACTTTCCATTTGAAGTTTCTCACTCTCATGGCTAAGCCTCCTCTTAACAGATGAGGAAATTCAGACTTAGGCAGGATAAGTGACTTTTCAGTAGGGACAGTGGGGATTGGAAGGCCACGATCTGAACCCAGATTCATGTGGTTCCATGGTGGCCCATCAGTCAAAGTCTATCATCTAATAGATGAGAGCTGTGGTGGCTCCCACCACTACAGGCTTTGTGATCATGGGCAAGTCACTTATCCTGTTTGAACTTCAAGCCCCTCATTCTCAGGCCTAGGCATGTGAAAGTGCACCTCTGTAGGGCTCCTGTGAGGAACAGAGATGAAGCATGTGGCAAGGACTCAGTCAGTGTTTGCTGCTAATGTGAATAAGACTATTATTGGGCACAAGCTCTTAGAAGGCTGGATGGGTATCTGATTAACCTTTCCATACCCTCAGCAGCTCCCCCAAGTTCTTGGCAGAGAAGATACCCAGTGTCCTGGGAAGGAAGGAGAAAGAGTGTGAGGGTTAGAACATCCTGAGTGTCAGGTGGGCTTGCTTCTGCCCCATATTCTTATGGCCTCAGGGGGTGGGGACCACCTGGCTGGATCAGGCATGCCACTGGGCTCCCAGGGGTAGTTCAGTACTCCTCATGGTTATGTTGAGGCTGAGGCCATTCTCAGTCCTCAGACTCTGAGAGACCCTGTTTTCACAAATGTATCCCAACATCCTCCCTAAAGAGCCCTTGGCAGGAAGAGCTCTGATGGGAGAGGACAGCTGAGCATATGCCTCACATCCATTACCATGTTGGCTACTCACATCCAATAGCAGACAGGACTGATGTGACTCTCACCTTACAGATGAGGACACTGAGACCCAGCAAGGTAAAGCGACATGTCCAAGGTTACTGAGCTGAGGCTCAAGGTCTCCAAACTCTCAGAAAAGGGTTCTTTTAATTAGTCTCAAATTAATTGCCCATCCTAAAACTCCTTCAAGGAAAAAGGCAGGTGCATAAATTCACAAACCAACTAACAAATAAAGGCAATGCTAATTATCACTGACTGCAGGACATTTGGGGGAGGGTGTCAGCCAAGTCTGCTTTCTGACTGCTCTGATCTCCCACCCTGACCAGAGCTGGCTAACTGCAGGAAGTTGCATTCATTCAGAAGCCGGGGTGAGGGCAATGGTTTGGTTTCCCCCTCAGAACCTGATGTGTGCGGGAATGAGCCACGCTGGATGAGACCAACTGACTATTCTGTAATCACCTGAAGCAGCTACTGCTCAACACCCGACAGCGCCCCAAAAGAACCTTTCCAGGCAAAATGAGGCTTGGCAGGAGGAGACGGATGGGAATTCACAGGGTCTCACCAGGGCCGCTTCGCTCATGATCTGTCTTATTTAGCCCTGAGCCCCAGGCAGGTGGGACTCCACATCAAGATGATTCCTACAAGTGCCAAGTCCCCTAAAGTTCAAGAGCAGGAAGTCATTTGCATCCCAGATGGAAGGAAGAGACGCAGGGGCCTGGCCTCCAGATTCCTGGAGCCATGGCCTGGGGGCAGTGGGCCCACAGACACTAGCCTCTCTAGGACCACCCCCAACCTTCACCCACCCAGGGCCTGGATTTCCCCTTCTTTTGAGGAGCAGTGACAAGGCAGGCAGCTGGGGGTGAAGAAGGGGGAACAGGGAGGCCCATAGACAATGTATACAATCAGACTGTAACAACCTCAGTGACGCCCCCTTCCCCTGGCCAATACACACACACACACCCACTTGCTCCTGCTTTCTCCCATTTCCTCCAGAAGGGTGTGTTTCCTGACTTGGTCCGTGGAGTCTGCATAGTAGACCATCTTAGAAATCAGTCAGTTCATCTCCCCCTGCACACTCGCCATTTACAGATGAGGGGACTAGGACCCTGAGAGCGGAAGCCACTTGCCCAAAGTCAGAACTACCCTGGTAGCCAAGCTAGGACTGGGGTCTGGATGTCCCCCGAGAAGTCTTGTGTGGTCACTTCATTTTGGCTTCAGTCACGTGATCACTTGACTAGGTGAGACTTTTAATCCCAAACAACCATTCGCTCCTACCCAAACCCCAAACCTCGGGCACTCCATTTTTCTATGGAAGTTATGGACCAAGCTCACACCAATAAAGGTAAATTAGAGAGGAAATTTGCAGAGGGACAGATCTTTTTCTCTTTTGAAGATGCCACTGGAGTCACCTTCACCCAGTTTTATCTGCATTGGGGAGGGGGAAGAAGGAGCTGAACAGAGTTTTGTTGTATAGATCAGGGGCAACCTGCCCACAGCAGACACTGTCACCAGGCAAACCTGTACTCTTACATCACGACAAGGGCTTCCTTCCAGTGGATCGCCACCTTGGCAGCACACTGGCCACAACCAGACCACACTCAGACCAAATATATCAGCATCTCCAGGAGAGGGCAGGGGCATCAGTGTTTGTAGAGCTCCCCAGGTGATTCCAATGGGCAGCCCAAGTTGAGCACCATCCTCTTCCTACTCAAAGTGGGGCCACTGACCAGTAGCGTTGGCATCACCTGGGAGCTTGATTAGAAGCACAGAACCGGGACTTCCCCAGTGGTCCAGTGGGTAAGACTCCGCGCTCCCAATGCAGGGGACCCAGGTTCAATCCCTGGTCGGGGAACTAGAGCCCGCATGCATGCCGCAACTAAGAGTTTGCGTGCCACAGAGTTCGCATGCCGCAACTAAGAAGTCCGCATGCTGCAACGAAGAGCCCGTGTGCTGCAACTAAGACCCGGCACAGCCAAAATAAATAAATAAACAAATAAATAAAAAATAAATATTTGAAGAAAAAAAAAGATATGCAGAACCGTAGGCACCTCCTCAGATCTACCGGATCAGAACCTGCACTTTATCAAGGTCTGCTGGTGGTTTCTGAGTTCACTAAAGTCTGAGAAGCACTGAGGCAAGGTACTCCATACAGTATAGCCCATCTCTACACCTGACAGCAACCTTGCAAGGCAGGTGTTCCATTCCACAGGTGAGGAAACTGATCCTGAGAAAGGTTAACTCACTGGCCCAAGGTCACACAGTTGGTGAGTAGGACAGCCAGGGTGTGACCCTGGGCTGGTTGCAAAGGCCACTCTTTGTACTACACAAACCACTTCTTATAGCACCATAAAAAATCTGGCCATGGGGGTCCCCTGAATGTTTGGGTCCTCAGACCCACTGGGCATGTCCCGCCATTGAACAGGATTCCACTTCCAATGTCAAGTTCCCCGGAATCAAACCTCATAAAGACGAGCATAATTCATGAGGAAATACAAATAGTAAACAAACACGTGGGGGAAAGGTTTACTCTCCCTAGTAATCAGAGAAATGCAAATTAGAGCAATACTGAGGAGCCATTTTCTACCTATATAATTAGCAAAAATTAAAAAAAGAAAAGAATGTTAGCAGAGTTGGTTTGAAATAGGTACATTCATACATGGCTGGCGGAGGTGTAGATTTATATAACCCTTGAGGAAAGTAATATGGCCACATCCATCAGGAGCCATAAATACATTAGGCCCACTGACCCTGGGAAGTCACCCTAAGGAAATAATTCAATAGGAGGGGAAATGCCGTTTGTAGGAAGATGCTCATTGCAACATTTGTTGTGAACATTGGAAACAAATCAGTATTCAGCAGTAAGGGAATGGCTGAGTCAGCAGGGGGGCCATCAGCTCCTGCAGGGTCATGCAGCCATTTAAAATGATAATTAAGAAGCCCAAGCAGCAAATATGGGAAAAAAGAAAGCAAAATACAAAACTCTGGGCTTATTACGTGCTCTGTGGTTACCATGATGGAAAAATATTGTGTGCGTAGGATATGGACGCAATTCGTCCAAACACCAAAGAAGACAACTGGTGTTTCAGGGTGAGGGGACAACGGAAAGACACCTTCCTTCCATTACTTTTACAGTTTCAGACCCCAATAGAATTGGCCTTTAAGAACAGCCTTGGCAGCTCTCTGGTCATGGACTCTATCTCTGAGTGGCACATGGAGACACCCTCATTCTGCATCCATGGGCACAGGGCCACACTCCCTGATTCCACCTGGAAGTGGGAGGAGCTGGCCCCTCCTTTCCTGTGTAGGGGTGGCGGTGGGCGGAGAGGCCATGGGAGTCCCCTCCCACCTTACCATGAAGCCTGGGGCACAGGTGCAGCTCCCAGTGACGCTGTGGCAGTTGGCGCCGTTCTGACAGGTGCAAGGCAGCTGGCAGCCATCGCCATAGTAGCCAGCAGGGCAGGATTCATTGCAGTGGTGGCCAGACCACCCTGGCTGGCAGGTGCAAGCTCCAGTTACTGGGTGGCAGCTGAGCAGATGAGAGAAGAATGAGAGGACAGTCTGGTCAGGAATGCGGCCATATTCCACCCTCTGCCCACCCCAAGTCTGGTCTGCCCAGGGCTGCAGGATCGAAGGGCCTCTGAAGTTAAATTTTTCTTTTTTTTTTGGCAAGTATTTTCCCCCAGTTGTGAGTTGTTTATTTATTTATTTATTTATATTTGGCTTAGTTGGGTCTAGTTGCAGCACGTGGGATCTTCTGTTATGGCACGTGGGATCTTTTGTTGCGGCGCGGCCTCCTCTCTAGTTGTGGTGCGTGGGCTCCAGAGCGTGTGGGCTCTGTAGTTGTGGCACGCGGGCTCAGTTGCCCCGCAGCATGTGGGATCTTAGTTCCCCAACCAGGGATCGAGCCCCCATCCCCTGCATTGGAAGGCAGATTCTTAACAACTGGACTACCAGGGAAGTTCTGAGGTTAAATTTCTTAACGTATTTTTTGTTTGCCAGACGATGCCAAGGTTACATGGTCTTATTACATGTTTCTTATTAGCCCCAAGAAACTGAGGCTCATAGTTGTTATATAATTTGCCTAAAGTTACATAGCAAGGAAGTAGCAAAATCAGGATTAGACACAGGTCTCCTGACTCCCAAACAAGTGCTCTCTATAATACAAATACACAGAGACCAAAGCAGGAGGCAGCCTCTTCCCTTATGGACTGGGAGGTCCAGCACTTCACCCACTCTGCACCCAAGGCAGATGCCCAGTGTGTGGGCAGGCACAAGAGGGCTGCAGTGAGGCCCAGTTACTCTGCATATTGTAGGTACTCGATGAACATTTGCTGAGTTAAAATGGAACCTTGGGGCAGATGCGTCCTCCCCTCTATGGCAATGTCTGTATTGGAGAGAATGCCCTCCATCCATGCATTGCTAGGGCTCTTTAAGAGCAAGCAAGATCGTCTCCATCCCCTCTCTGGCAAGCCCAGCGAAAGAACCATTTGGCTGGAGGCAGGGGCTGCCTGGCATGACCTCTAGAGAGTCAGGCAAACTCTGGCTGGCAGAGGTCTGATCCAACAGCCAATATGCATCCATGATCCCGGGTGTGGTGACCATTTTCTTCTCAGAGCTTCTGTGGGGAGTGTAATTGACTGATGGCCCTAGCTACTGTGTCTGAAATCCATCACTACATTTTCTCAGAGGTCACACTTCCCCTGGGCTGCTCTCAGCTAGAGCACAGCAGGAATATTAAGGTCGACACATTCTTGGCAAATCTGGGACTCCTCTGATGGACAAGTTTGGCTTAAAGACTCCCCATCTCGCCAAACTTTCTTAGAACTGTGCTTCAGTCTAAAACTTTCCAATCAACCTTCCTTCCTTCTCTCTTTCCTTCACACAGGTCAGACCTGCATTGCAGTCTCATGCTCCCCTAGCCTCCTCAGCCCCTTCCCCATTTTCCCTCATAGGTGTGTCCCTAGTAAATCTCTTGCTCTCGTCATCTGCTTCTGGGAGAACCCAGACTAACACTCCAGAGAAGACGCTGGATGTCAGAGACAAGCTTCTTGGATTCCCTGTGTCATCTGCTTCCTTGCCCTGGAGTCCAACTCAAGGGATATGGTCCAATGGCGCATGCTCTGGGCTGGCAAGAGAAGCCTACGTACAAATCTTGGTTCTGCTAAGTTCCACGAGGATATGGGCTTTGTCTCCCTGGGTCATTGGTGGATCCCCAGTGCCTGGCTCATATTCACTGCCCAATTAAATATTTGGGAATGAACAGTACTTTTACTACGCGTAATTATTTTCTGTCTGTTGACTTGTTTATCACCTGTCTCCCCACCAGGTGGCAGCTCCATGGGGGAGGGCCCTTTGTCTGTCTATTTCACTTCTGTATTGTACCCCAATGGCCAGCAGGGTCCCTGGCACCATGAAGATACCAATACATATTTGCCAAATGAATTAATGCACAAACTAATTGTGTGAAGCCCAGCCAATTTCCGGGAGCCCTGATTTTCTCATGGAAAATGAGGGATGGACAGGAGCAGACAGTTCCTGAATAGTAAGTGCAAGTAGCTAATAGTCATTTTGGAAAATGTTTAGTCTCATTAATCATCAAGTCAAAACAACAATTAGATATCACTTTTTCTCTATCAAAATTGTAAAGTATTTTTGGTTTTTTTTTTTAAAGGGATAATGCTCAATGCTGGTAAAGGTTTCTAGAAAACAATGTGGGGTTATATATCAGGAGTCCTAAAAATATTCAGACCCTTTGGTCTTGTAATTCCATTTCTAAGAATCTATCCTAAGGAAACAGTCACAGTTGTAGAGAAAGATTTATGCATGGAGATGTTCCCCAAAGCATTATTTATAACAGTGGAAAAATGGGGGCAATTTATATAATAATAAATAATATGTGACCAGGCTATTAAAGCACCAGGCACTTTACACCTATATTTCTAATCTTCAAGTAAGCCTGTGAGTTAGGCATTAGAGCCTCTATTTTTCAGATGGCACTTGGAGGTTATATGACTTGCCCAAGGTCACACCACTAACTCAGTGGCAGCTGGGATTCCGACCCAGGTCTGTCTGGCCATGTTCTGGTCACTGCCTCATGCTGCCTCTGACACCAGGGTACTGGTTAAATGAATTATGATAATTCATATGAAGGCATGTTAGAGAAGTATTCAAATGTTTTCCAGTCTATTTAATGACATGACATAAGAGTAAGTGAAATAAGCAAGTTGTGTATAAAGTCATGATCTAAAATATGAAAAAAAAGTGAATCAGAAATGGATGAAGAATGAACAAATTACAACAAAATGGTTTTTGTACTCACCCCTGGATTGAGAAATTATGAGTGACTCTGAGTTTTTTCTTTAAATTTCTATGTATTCTCTGACTTTCTCAAACTGAGCATCTATTATATTCATAAACAGATAAAAAGTGATAAAAATTATAATATGTAAAAAAGAATGTGTGTAAAGAATGGATGTTTGAAGACTTCCTGACTTCTATGGTTCCAGATAAATTCCTCCCTGGGTCCCACACTGTAAGGGGAAATAGTGGCCCGCACGGGTGTCATGGGGCAGGGGGCCCCTACTTGGTGGCCCTGACCCTCAGCCAGACAGTTGTGGGGTGCTCCCCTCTGTCCCCAACACTCCCAGCAAAGCCCTAAGGCATGGCCTTTCTCGGTTCCAACTTTTCAGGGGTCTCCTCTGAGGTTTGGGTTTAGGGTCAGAGGGACTGGCTCAGTCACAGTTGTGGAGACTGACATGCTTGGACCCAGGAAGTAACACGGCAGGCGCTGGCGGCCGCAATCAGCTCTGTCTGGCCCCTGAGATTCTGAAGGGTCTCAGGCATCCTTCTGCCCTTCTTTCAAGAGATTCTCTCGTTACAGGTCCTTGCTCTGGTGTGAAGACCACCCTGTGAATAGCATACTAGACACACAGTGAGCTGGCGAACGCTGGCCTCTAAGCTCTCCTGCGTTTCTTCTTTCCATCTTAACCGCCGGTGTTTTGGATGTTAGGGGTGTGTCTCAATGTCAATTTTACCTTTTTACTCTGAGAAACCAGAAAGCTCAAAACCAAACCTGAGATAATTTCTTCCTCTCTCCTTTCATATCCCTAAAATTCTATTTTAAAAAACAAAACACCTCTGTTTTCTTAATTCGATCACTCGTCGCTTATTATAGAAACTCCAAAATCCCTTTGAAAAGAGGGTGGGGAATGATCACTGGCTCAGCGATTAGGACTGAAAACTGCCGTTGCCATGCTCTCGGCACCTCTGTCACATCTCCCTCTCCCTGGTGTACCCTGCTCCCTGCCCCGTTGGTGGCAGAGCCATTCCCTTGGGTCACATGGCAGCCAAGTGACTCCTGTTTAGGCTGGTTTGGCTTTTGCTCTGCCTTTTTTTTTTTTCCCCCCCTCACCTTTCTCCATTTCCCCCAGACATAGATTAATCACAAGTTAATAGGAGCCGAAAGCTGAACAATACAGGAATCTTTTCAGGGTGGAATTTTCTGTCAGTTTTTCCTGGCTGCTCTGAGATTTCTATCAATGCTGCATCTGGTGGCTAAGTCAAATCTTTCAAAGGTAATCCACAATCATGGCTGCTGGAATTCGTCTATGACAATCCAGTTGTGGAGGGGACATGGACAAGGTCTGACACACAGGTGTTCACTTTCTCAAGGTTATTCCTTTATGAAGGAAGGAGGCTGCTTTGTGTGTGCTACAAAGCATTTATAAAGGGAATGAAGTGTGGGGAATTTCACCAGCCACTTCTTCCTTCCCAGGGCACGTGGGTACAACCTCTCTTTGAAGCAGCCTCTCCAGAGGGGCATAGAGCCGGGAGAGGCTGGGGCCAGCTGAGGAGGGTTTTCTATGGTTGGGGGTTGGGAAGACTTTGCTTCTCTAGGAAAGATGCTCAAGGCCTTCCTGGCAAGCTGTCTTGGAGGGGCTTTGCTGCAAGCTCTTGCGGAAGCCAGCGGGGAAATGAGGCAAGGTTTCTGGGGATCCCACACTCTGTCTCAGAGAGCTCGGTGGAAGCTTCGCTTTCAGATCACAAGAAAACTTTTACCCCCCACTGGGCTGACAAAAGGCGATAGACAGACTGGGAAACTAGGACAGAGGAGAAGTACACGTATCAGGACACTGACTCAGGCAGAGGTAGTTCTAAGGCCAGGACTGAGGGGTCCCAGACCTACCCAGAACCTGCAGCTTAACTGCCTTGGAATTAGGAGTCCTAGACTCATCCCTCTGCTTTTCTTGGATCCCGAGAGAAGGCTCTAGAATGGGACAAAGGCTCACAGGAAGAGAGGAGTGGCCTGTGTCCACAGAGAGGAAGAGAGCTGTTCTCTGTGTCCCTGAGAACAAAGCCAAGTGCAGCATGACAGAGGTTCAGTGAGATCACAGGCTCTCAACCTCGGGCAATTCTGCCTCCTCCCACCCCACCCAGGAAACGTTTTCGGTTGTTAGAACTTGGGGCTGGGGTATTGCTACTGGCCTCTAGTGGGCAGAGGCCAGGGACACTGCTAAACATCCTGCAATGCACAGGAGGGCTGTCCACAACAAAGAATTATCCAGCCTAAAATATCAACAGTGGCGAAGCTGAGAAATCCTGAGTTAGACTAAATAAAAATTCGGTGAGTGTCGGGGGCTCAGTCACTGGGGCCGTGTGCCAAGGGAAAGGGGTGAAATATTTTTAAAAAATAAGGTGACATCAGCTCGGGAGCACAGCCACCCTAGAGGAATGGGCGATTTAACATGAATTCCGCGATTCTTTTTCCTGAAGGTCTGCTCTGTGCCAGGCTCCGTGCAAGGCTGAGGTTGCAGAGACCCACAAGCTCGGGCTGTGACACAGCTCCCTGCAAGGAGATAGTCAAGCAGACACGGGGGAACCTGGCCTGGGGGGTTGGCTGCCAGGCACTCTCGGGGTCCCCACGCTTAAGAAGCACTACTGCCTCCCAACCCCTGAAATGTGACACGTGTTAAAGACAGTAAAGCAAATAATCATCAATATTGAATGGGCTGAGATTAGCGACAGAGAAGAGGGAGTCCTTCCAGATTAATAATGCATCGAGGACTCCTTCAGAGGAGGGATAAATTATGCAGGGCACGGCTGCTTGGGTATGCGGAGAAAACAATAGCTCTTTAATTTGGGGGTTGGTTGGATCTCCGTGGCAGGGACTCTCCCTGCACTGGACCTCAGTGGCAGCCTAGCTTCCTGTCCCTGACACGGTCCTCCCTTGGCTTCCCCGCAGGGGTAGGGGTTCCTGGTGCTGCCCCTCACCCGTGGAACAGCCTGAGGCAGCTGCCCAGTCCCCCGACCAGCCATGGGGGACCCCCGTGTTCAGAGTCTTGGAGCTCTCACCCCACCCTCCAGACCCAGCCCAGAAGCCACCTCCTCCAGGAAGCCTTCCCTGACCAGTGAAGCGGTTTCCTGTGGTGCTTTCTGTACAGAGCCCTGGGTCACAGTTACTTGAGTACATGTTGGGACCCAGCAGGGCCAGCCGCATATATTTCATTGATTCTAAGGTGCACTTTGCCCCACATTTTCAGATCTCTGATGCAGTCAGTGGTATGTCATGGCTCAGTTTTAGTAGTACATAAAATAAAGCAGTGCCTCACTACTGGTGTTGTCTTGTATTTGAAGAAATATGGTAGGAGGTCCTCAGTGTGGGTAGGTGCTCCAGACTCAAGTTCCTGAGGGCTGGACTCGTGCTGAGGGACCCTTTCTTTCTTGTGTTTGGCCCTGCAGGCTCTCAGTGTTTGTTGAATGAATGACTGAGCGAACGAATGCTTAAGTCATATGTAGCCCGTTCCACTGGCTCCAGAGCCCCCTCTTAATGGTCTCCTTCCCAACCCTCTGCCCTTGCAGAGAGCACTGCCCGAGCCACTTAGCTCCAGGAACTGAGGACTGCGGACAGATTCTGTTAAAGCCACAACACTTTCTAAGAGGCCTCTGCTCACAGTGACCTGAGGACCTTGGGTGATGTGTGGAGAATCAAAAGCTGGAAATGAAGAGGGGCCGAGGCTATGTCCTGGCTGTCCCAGAGACAAGGCTACAAAGCAGAGGTATCTCTCTCTGGCCCGCCAACAGAAGCAGCACCCATTGCCCAGGGCAGCTGGTCCTGCAGGCCTGAGGGGAGAAGGGAGACTCCCCTCACCTTGCACCATCCTAATAAGAGGCGGCCACATAGAGAGCTGTGGAAGCATTTATCTGGGGCCTGACAGCCTCATTTGAAGCTTTAATCTGGGGCCCGACAGCCTCATTTATCACCAGAGGGCGGTGCCAGCTGGTGCAGGAAGCAGGCAGTGAGGGGAGCTGGGGGATGTGGCCCAGGGCGGCTCTGGTGTCTCCACTTCCAGGAAGAAGGGCTGGGGCCGGCATCAGCCCAGATGTCCCCAAGCCCCACTTTTTTTTTTAACTGAGCCTTTTATATTATTTACTTTGTTTAGTAGCACATGACAGAATGATTTCTTAAAAATCAAATGTGGTTATTTGTATATACATTAAGCCCTCAGCATAATTTCTGCCTCTGAAGTGCTAATACAGTATTTAAAATTATACAAACATCCAGTAAATGGCATTTTAGTTTATGACACTCTGTTAATACAATAAATACACAAAACTTCCAAACTACTAAAAACGTGCAACATTAGAGGGACAGATGGAGGGCGTTTATATAGAACCATGACAGTCACCGTAATGGCAGCTCAATACCACTCGCTGACAAACTATACAGACATCCCTAGATAAATAATCCCAGTCCTAGATTAAAAACCACTGACGCAGGGCTTCCCTGGTGGCGCAGTGGTTGAGAGTCCGCCTGCCGATGCAGGGGACGCGGGTTCGTGCCCCGGTCCGGGAAGATCCCACGTGCCGCGGAGCGGCTGGGCCCATGAGCCATGGCCGCTGAGCCTGCGCGTCTGGAGCCTGTGCTCTGCGACGGGAGAGGCCACAACAGTGAGAGGCACGTGTACCGCCAAAAAAAACAAACCACTGACACAGAGTGCAGGGAGAGGCCACCCCAAGCCAAGACCCTGCGGGCCTGCCCTCTGTCCCTCCCGCTCCGTCACCCTAGCCACGGCCCCAGGGGACAGCCCTCTGCAGGCCCCAGGTCAGCCATACCGGTTTTTAAGGTCCCTTCTAACACTGTGGCTCAAGTCCCCTGCTTCTGCCTTGGTGGGCCTGTCTCTGGGCCCCTCGGGGCTGGGAAAGGGCCTGGTTAGATGCAGACTCTGTGGAAGCGAAAAGTTCTCCCGACCACGCCCCCAGGGCCCTGGTACCCTGAGCCTAGCCCCCCGCATTTCCACCCATCCCCACCCTGTTTCCCTGAGGGCCACCAAGTTCCCTCGTGCTCCTGTGTGTGGGGTCTCAGGTTGGCCTACGTCTTTTCATCAGACTGGCCAGTGAAGGTGATTGCTGAGGTCCCAGCCCTTTCACTGCCTGCCTGGATGATCTGGCTGGAGGTGGGCTTTGTACCCTGACAGTCCCCTCCCCACCAGGGCCCACCCCACCCCTGTCCCCCGCTCACCTGTCCCCAGATCGTTCGTACCTGATGGTGTTGTCGGCATCACAGGGGCAGGGCAAGCTGCAGCCTGGGCCGTGCAGGCCTTCGGGGCACAGCCGCTCCTGGCAGCGGGGGCCTTTGTAGCCAGGTTCACACTTGCAGGCACCGGTAGTGGGTGAACACTGACCCCCATTGTGGCAGTCACAGCGCAGGGAGCACTGGAAGCCAAAGGTCCCGAAGGGGCTTTCCTCTTGGCACCTGCGGGATAGCAGAGGAGGGTGAGGCTATGCCCCCTCACCTGCCCTTCCAGATCCACCCAGCACGTACCGCCCCTGCCTCCAGGCCTGGGCCTGGTGTGCTGCACCTCCTCACAGTCTCCTCCCCTCTTTCCTCTCCTCCTCCAGGAAGTATTCCGTGGTTTAGTCACCCCACTCCATTCCCTCCTCCACGCCAGTTCCCCTCAGTCCCCAGGACTGAGTTCATACTATCATATTTCATTGATTATAGGCCTTATGTGTTTTTTTTTTCATTTTTTGATTGCAGTAAATAAGTATAACATAAATTTACCATTTTAATTATTTTTAAGTGTACAGTACAGTGGAATTACGTACATTTATATTGCTGTGCACCCATCACCACCGTCCATCTCTAGAACCTTTTCATCTTCCCAAACGGAAACTTCTGTACCCAGTAAACAACAAACCTTGTTTTAAAAATATATTCTAACATCTCTGAAACCAGTTAAGTCTTATAACTGATGGCATGTCATAGTTTAATTTTCAGTGTTTTTCATTCTTAGCAATATATAAACTAATGATGCATCTCACAATCGGTGGCATTTCAGATTTGATGAAATGGGGTAATTTTATTTCTACTCGTTGTCTCTGTTCTTTGGGTCTTTCGGACAGACGTACAGTCTCTCTTTGCCATATGGGAGACGATCCGCTTCCACCAGTGTCGAGTTTCCCCATGAGTACAAGATGCATCCTCCTTCATCAGACTGGAGAATCCCCCAAGACAGGGGCTATTTCCTCTTCCTTGGATGGGGGGGTTCCCTCAAGGCAGGGGCTGAGCCTCTTCCCTCAGCCGGTGAGCCCCCCAAAGAAGAGGACCTGGCCCCCTTTGTGTCCTGCCTCTGCTGGGGCCTGGGAGTTGGAACTCCCAGCATAATGATCATTATTTGACTCATCAACTGACATCCATTGGTTGTGGGTCCTCTGTGGGTGGGTGTAACCTCTGCTGCTGACTGCCTAGCTTCCTGGATGTGCCCAACACCCCTCACCCCAGCCCAGGGATATTCCCCAGGGGATGTAAATTCATCGTCGCAGCAACAACTTAAGGGGTAAACCTGGGGGCATATGGGGTAAAAGAGATGGGCAACCCCTGCGTCCCAGAGACAGACGAACAGAAATGGCCTATGGACTCTGGGGTTTTGGATTAACCGCATCCCCACACTGCTTCTAAGGTGCAGAGAATGGGGAACTGACTTCAGCTCTGACATCTGCTTCCCCATCACAAAATGGGAGGATAATAACTAAACCTCACCAGGTGTTTGAGGATTAAATGAGGCGACGCGTATAAACACTTAGAAAGGTACCCCATGCGTGGTAAGGGCTCAGTAAGAAGTGTTAGTTCTTATTATTACTCTTGTTAATACTGTTTTCTATAGTTCTCCTAACAGAGCCCTTCTGGCATGAAAAAGCTCAAAGGGAAGAATTCCAAATATTAACATTGGAGTGGACTTGAGGAATTACAAGTCGTTTAATGATTATGTTTTCCCATTTTCAGGTTTTCTATATATCTTCTACAATAATCAGGGCAGAGGGGAACAACAAAAGATGTTTAAAAAAATACAGCCTTGGGCTTCCCTGGTGGCGCAGTGGTTGAGAGTCCGCCTGCCGATGCAGGGGACACGGGTTCGTGCCCTGGTCTGGGAAGATCCCACATGCCGCGGAGCGGCTGGGCCCGTGAGCCATGGCCGCTGAGCCTGCGCGTCCGGAGCCTGTGCTCCGCGACGGGAGAGGCCGCCACAGTGAGAGGCCCGCGTACCGCAAAAAAAAAAAAAAAAAAAATACAGCCTTAGCATCTTTATTAACTCTTGGTGAGTCCTGAGTTGGAAGCAGTGTTTTCCACCACACACCCAGATCGTCTTCCTACAAATCTTGCTGCATTTTAGTCAGTTTGAGGCCTCAGCAAGGGAAAGAACAGAAAAGAGAGGGAGGAAGAGGAAAGAGAGAAGGGGATAGAGAGAGAAGGAATGGGAGGTGGAAGACAGGAAGGAGGAGAGAGTAGGATGGAGGAGGTGAGGAGGGAAACCAAGGCGGAAGGGGAGGACACAGAGCAGTGAAGAGCTGTACGATTGCCGCCTGGATTGCCAGCCCCTGTTCTGCCTCAGAATGGATTTCCCCAGAGGTCACTCAGGTTGCCTCTCCTGGACGTCTCAGACACCAGGGGAAGAAACCCCAGCCTGGAGACACCTCCGGATTCCTCCTTTTCACTGGAACATTCCTTCTCCTTCCCATGCACCAGGACTGGGTACAGCCCTGGACAGTGAGCTCCCTTCTCTGAAGGGCACGTCCTGCCCCATCATATTTACAAAGGGACTGACTCCTGGCTCCACAGCCCCGGAAAAAGAATCTAGAAATGAAATATTGACAACCTAATCCATTTACATAATCAGCCTCTTTTTTTTTTTTTCCTACCCACAAGTTAAACAACTTATTTATTTAGAGATCAAGCAACGGCTGCTAATGAATTTTACACAAAGCACGCTAATAATGGGGCCTGCGGAACAGAAGGGTAATCACAGCAGGAATTAGTTTTCTACTTAAACATCCTTCCTTTGCAACATATCAATCTTATGTGTCCGATATTGCCATTAACAACCAGATACATTGCTCAATTAAATTACAAAATGAGCTGCAAAACCCTCATTATGTTTCATGTTTAATTTGCACTGGATTCTGCCTATCCGGGGAGGCCTGCATTATCATACCCACTCAACTTTAATATGCTCGCAATGATGCGGGGTGGGTTCCTGCAGCTGTCACCTACAAAATAAATGGAGGCAATTTTACAAAATATTAAACACCAGGCAGCCCGTTTAGGTGGGAAACCCAAATGCTACCGGGCCCTTCTAGGAATTCTTCATCTGTAGATGGTTGATGAAGCTTGCCTGAAGACCCCGAGGCTTTTGGGGCTTCTCTCTGCCTCAGGATCATGGGCTGGGCCCCAACAAGCGGGACTAGTGGTATTTCTCCATTTGGTACATCTTGGCACCAATGAGGTTGGATCCGCTGGTGCTCAGTCCAGTCAGCTGGAACCCTGGGCCCGCTTGTCTCCAACAATGAATGGGCTGTATTCGCTCTCCTGTGAAAGTGGCCGGAAACAAAGGGTCCTGTTCTGGTTCTGGGGTCTTCCGGCTCCTGTCCCTGCTGGCTCATCCCAAATGTCTACTTATCCAGGGAGATGGTGAGGATGGGAAGATGGCTCAGTGCTTTAGTCCTGCCTCCCTTCTCCGCCTAGAGATGCAGTCTCCAACAGAGGTCAGAGAGGGATGGATCCCCAGATGCCACACCCCGCATTCTGTGCCAGGGATGCTCACGGAGATGAACACTGGCTCACAAAGAGATCAGATCTGGCTTAAAATACTTCAGGCTGGGGGTATGTAAGTGTAAAGCTAAAAACGGAAAATCTCTTTTCTGGACCACTGAGCACTTGGGGCTGACTCCAGTGAGAGCTGGAGGGGTGCAATTATGTTGGTCAGAGCCAGAAGGACTCATTGGTTAATTCAGGCCTGCTTCCTGCTTCCTGCTGTTATCTGGGCAGGGGAAGCGGAGTAACAAAATCCAGGGCCAGAGGTGAAGCATGGATCCCACAGAAGCAGGCAAGGGTGTGACAGCCTCCTCTCTACTGCCCGTCTCTCTGCTCAAAGAGACACACGTGGTTCAGAGTGAGAGGGAGGGGACTTGCCCTGGTTCTCTGGACAAACGTCCTCCACCAGCTCTGAATCCACTCGTCAGACACCTTGGCTGTCGTTTCCGCTCCTTCTAGAGCGCCTGCCCTATCATCGTGGAATCTTTCTTACCATGGCAAGTGCGCACGTCTGGCAGTCCCTCCGTTATGTGTTTTGTGGGTCATCCACTAAGGCTGCAAGGCTGGTTTGATACCAGGACATTGGTGCCCTTGATTGGTCTGCTCTCAGGCCACAGGCCTTCAGAGGATGCAAACTGACGTCAATATCCTTTTGGCAGAACTCACGTCAGGAATAAAAATCCACTTCTAAAAGCAATTGTGCAGAATGTGTGAACTGAGTTTGCACGCTCAGCTTCCTTGGCTTATCGGTGCCACTGCCTCTCTCCAGGTGGGCAGCAAGTAGAGAGTGGTGGTAGGTGCCCACCCACTTCCCCAGGTGAGTCAATGCAAGTTCAGGGCTTGGGTCACTGGGCTGGGGGTGGGGGTGGGTACCCTCAGCAGGCTGAGGGCCAGGAAGGATGGGTTGGCAGAAGGACTCAGAATGCTTTCTGAGAAAGGAACAGGAAAGCTGGCAGAAGAAGGCCATGGACTGGTAAAGCTGAGCTGTTCTCTTCAAGGCTGCTGTGAAAATGAGTATTATGTACATCAAGGACGAGAGTTAACAGCTTCCTTACCTGTCCCCCATGTATCCGGCTGTGCAGTGGCACTGCCCAGTCACGTGGTCACACTGCCCTCCATGGTGGCAAGGACAGTCCTGGCTGCAATTCTGGCCGAATGTCCCTGGTGGGCAGGGCTGGGCACACACTGCTCCCTGAAACACAGGAGGGAAGACATGCAGAGGTGGTGCTGCTGAGATGCAATCCTGAGGCCACCTTCTTCTAGAAGTAGCACAGTTGCTACAGCCCAAGGGACCACGCCATTCCCTCAGTGGTACCTTCTCCCCAATCACAGAAGCATAGAAAGCGAGACACCATGGCTTCAAAGCTAGAGATGGGCAGACTGAGGCCAATTGGCTCATCTAATTATTCAGCACACCCTTACTGAGTGCCTGTTGTATACCAGGTCCTGTGTTAGACACTAGGGATATGAAAATATGAGTAAGACTCAATTTCTCTCCTCCCAGTCTACTAGGGAGAGAGACAAGCAAACAGGTAACTAGTGCACGGCGCTAGGTGCCCTCACACTGGTACACAATAAAGTGCTGAGGAAAAACAAAGCAGCGGTGTGATTAAACATGGTGGTCTGGAAACACACATTTATCTCTCCTTCTTTCCCAAACCCAGCTAACAGGAGAGTAAAGGGGGGAAATGTACAGACCTACAAGGAGAAAAGGAAGGGGAGAGGGGACCGTAGAGGACAAGAGGTGTCACGCGGTGGAAGATGGACCGGCAGATAGAGGAGCAGAAACTGCTGGGGTTTCTGTTTTCTCAGCAATGCCAAGTGCCTGCAGAGCACACGTTGCAAGACAAAGCTCAGAAAAGCTCAGGAATCAGAGACACCAGGGGCCTCTGAAGGCCAAGGTGCACGTGTGGGGAAACAGGGGAACGGTCTGAAAGTTTATAAAAGAGGGAATTAGACCCCAGATTTTTACTCCCATTTCAAATAGCCAAGTGACTTCCCAAGACTGACAGTTTACTTTTAGGGAGGTTGATCCGTTTAAGGCTTCAGACACAGGGACACCAAGCACAGCTAAGGGGAATGGGGCAACAGAAATGGGGATCTTCTGAGACCTGCCCGCTGAACAGACCCTCTGCTCTCTTCCCCTGCTCAGCTCCTACGATGCTAGTGACCAGACTCTCCTCCCTCTGGCAGGGTTCTGGCGGATTCCTTTCCGGGGAGACTGAGAAGAAAGGCCTATAAGTAATGATATTTGAGAGTCCCATCAGTCAACAAGCTTGGCATCTCCCCCTGCCCCCTAGGCTTCCAACCAGCTTTTCCAAGGATCATGGTAAAACATGAACAGGAAGCCAGGGATCACCAGATATTTGAAATGAGGCTCTAGCAAGTTGGGAGATGGCGGTAAAGCACATTACGTAGAAATATGGAGGGAAATGCCAGAAGAGACACCTAAAAGATTTGAAGCTGGTACCTTTCAGGAGAGGGACTTGTGGCAGGTCTGGGGGCTGCAGAGGACTACTTTCCACTCCCTCCAGTAGTAGCCTTGTGGTATTAGATACTGTGTATAATTTTTCAATTGTACATGTGACTCTTAGATCTTTATCAGACAGAAATCTAAACTTACTCTTGTCTCCTGCTGCCCTTCCAGCCTCTCCCATACCAGAGATGGTCATTTTTCTTATGGAGATCAAGGATTCTCCCATAGTTAATAAATCAATTAGCTCAACACACAATTATTAAGCACCAATAATTGCCAACCCTGAGGAAGCTAGTTTAGGCAGGAAAGCCCTGCTGACCCGGGTCGTCTATCAATACCATCCAATTTACTTGTAATGAATTAAGTGGGAGGCCTTTTCGCTGAGATGTCTCCTCTACACATAGTAAGTCAGACAGTGCGGGGCTGTGGGGGGCAGGGATGGGGGACCGAGCAGCAGAGGCAGCAGCCCGGGGCGGTGGGATGAGTGTGTATGTGAGGAGAGGGGCAGGGAAAAGCTGCTCAGACGAGGGCGTCCCTCTTCTTCCTGGAGGTGGTGGGGTTACCCGGGCTTGCCTTTCTCACTGTACCCCACAAGCTCCAGGGATTCTTGAGGGAAGAGATGAGTCTTTCTGGCCACCATCTGAGCCAGTCTTCTGCGGGCCTGGACAAGGACATTCTGACCCTGAAAAAACATTCTGAGCCACCCTGGGGGCTGTGCTTATACCTCCCACCTCTCCACCACGGAGCACTGTGGGGTACCCTGTACCCACACACACACACAGACGCTCATATACACCATCCACCCTGTTAGACTGCAGGTGGGCCTGCCGATGCAGGGGACACGGGTTCGCGCCCCGGTCCGGGAAGATCCCACATGCCGCGGAGCGGCTGGGCCCGTGAGCCATGGCCGCTGAGCCTGCGTGTCCGGAGCCTGTGCTCCGCAACGGGAGAGGCCACAACAGTGAGAGGCCCGCGTACCGCAAAAAAAAATAAAAATAAAAAACCCCGAAAAACTCTGGCAAATCTCTGCCTGCCTCAATAGGCCCTGCAGCCATCCCTCCTGCTGTCCACCCCTCCACACACACACCATGACCTCTAGCTCACAGCCTCCCGAAAGATCCCACTCCTGCTCAGCAGCCCTGTCCTTCCTGGCTTTGCAAAGCCTCAGGCTCCAGGGGAGGCAGCTGGCTGTGTCACTGAGCTCCCCCTGAAACGGAAAAGTCAGCCTCTGTGACTCACTGCTTCTGAGGGGCTTGGGACTGTGGAGGGTGGGGATACTGACAGGGGGAGCATACTGGCTAAAAGGAGGCTGTGGCTTCTCTGTGGCATCCAAGGACATACAAAAAGCAACTGTAGAGCACTCCAGAGCTTGCAAGGCACATTGGATGTGCACTGCCTCATCTAAGCCTTCTGCCAACCATGCTGCTATGAAGGGCAGGGCTGTTCTTTTTCTTTTTTTAATTTTTAATTTTTTTATTTTTTGGCCACACCGCGCAGCATGTGGGATCTTAGTTCCCTGACCAGGGATCAAACTCGCGTCCCCTGCATTGGAAGCATGAAGTCTTAACCACTGGACCTCCAGGGAAGTCCCAGGGCTGACGGTTTTCATGCCAGCTTTGCAGACGGGGAAGCAGAGACTAGAATAGCTGAGGACTTTTTTCAGGGTCAACTTTGGATGTGAGGCCTGATGTGATGTGATAAATCTCATCCCCCTTTCCCACAATGGTGGTTCCCAGACAAGAGACCTGGATTGGTTGAGGCTGCATCAGAATTACGTGGAGCACTTGTTAAAATACAGATTCTGGGGCCCACAGAATCAGAATATGTGTATGTGTGTGAGTACAGAGGTTGGAGGCTGGGAACCTGAAGTTCTATAAATGAAGGTGATTCATACCCTGCTCTCTCCCTTCCCCTGCACCACCCCAATCTTTATACCATGCCCTTTTCACAACATTTCAGAGCCCGTGGCAGCTCAAGTGAGTCCCTATGCTGAAAGACAGAGACAATTTATGAGAATAATTCAACTCCTTTGCACATGAGGGACCACAGGCTCAGAGAGGTTAAGTAACTTGCTTCAGGTCACACAGCACTTAGATGGGAGCCCTGGGATTCAAAGCTGTGTCCATGACACAACTGGCAGTGTCTAATGATGCCCATGACCATAAAGAGGAGGCAGGGTATTCAGGGTGCGAGAGGAATTTAGCCCTCCAGGGTACATGTGAGGGATGCTCAGACCTCTTACAGAGCCCCACCCAGATCCTGCAGGTCCACCTACCATCCAGCCTGGGGGGCAGGCACACTCGCCAGTGATGTGGTGGCAGGTACCCCCATTCTGGCAGGGGCAGCGCAGCTCACAGTGAGCCCCGTGGCTCCCAGGTGGGCAAAGCTCCTCGCAGCTGCGTGGGGAAGCAGAGGCGTTAGAGGCAGCTGCATGTAGATCAGGTCACTGGGCCCTAGTGCTGCCGGTCCCAAGGCTCCCGGGCTCCCTAGAAGTTAGTGAGTTCACAGTCAGTGTGAACCATACTAGACACAAGGCCAGGAGAGGGAAAACAGGGCTCAGATACTATGAACTGGAAGGTTGTGTGCTTGGACCAGTACTTGTAGGATGACTTAAGTGCTTTTAGTGTAAAGGAGAGTACTCTACCGGGAGGGAAAGCTGAGGAAGGCTTCCCTAAGAGGGAGACATTTCACTTGAGTCTTGGAGGTGAAGTTAATTTCACCGGGAGAAGGGGAGGAAGGGCATGTCAGGCAGAAGGAAAAGGACAAGCAAAGGCATGAGACGTAGCCATGACTCCAGTCTTCAAATTCTGCCTAAATTCAGAGAGAGGGAGAATCTGGGGCATGCCTCCACCCTCTTCCAGGCTTTCAGCTACCACAACAGGCTTCTATACAGGGACTATCACTGCTGAGATGCGGGGAAAGATTTGCCTGGGGTCTTGGTCTTGGGCCTTAGCCCAATGTTTTGCCCCTGGAGCTGTGGCCAGACACTGGGGCAGGGGACACACAACAACCATCAAAGATGTATCTGCAGCCAGAGTCCTTGGGTGTCCCCTCAGGTTCTAGGGCTGCTGGGGAGGCCACTGAGCCTTTGATAGGGTGCGGAGGAGAACGTCAATCTTGCCTCTGAAGGGGTCTCAACTAAGCAGTCTTGGAGGGCTCCTGTCCATGCACCCTCCGTCTCCAGGGAACTGGAGTGAGGGGCTGCTTGGGGTCTGAGGGGAGAAGGTAAGGGAAGAGGAACAGGGGCAGTAAACTCCCCGAATCTGTGCATGATATCTGCCCAGGGCCCTCACCCCGCTCTGCCTCAAATGGCCTGGAAGGGTCAACAATGGCCTTTGGGTTACGATCAGAATTCCAAACTAAGGTCTGGGGCCCGGACCAGGGAGGACCTCCTGGGAGGAGGTTAGCCAGCTCCTCTGGCCATGAGAGCCTCCATCAGAATGTGCCCTCCCAGCTCGCACCAGTCTCCCTGGGGCTTGGACAACAGGGATCTGAGGGTGTGGGCGAGGCCCGGGCGTTCAGCCTCTGCAGGACTTGGGGTCGGAGCGCGGGAGATTTTACAGCCAGGACTATCTTGACCCTCCAAGTGTTTCCCGATCCTGCTCTCCCAGCCGCCCCGGGCTTTACTCACTAGACGCCAGTATAGCCGGGCGAGCAGAGGCACTCGCCGGTGCGGGGATCGCAGCTGGTGCCGTGGCGGCACTGGCACGGCAGCTGGCAGCCCTTGCCATGGGTGCCAGGCGCGCAGAGCTCCTCGCAGCGCCAGCCTCGGAAGCCGGCGGCACACACGCAGGCGCCGGTGATGGGGTTGCACAGGGCTCCGTTTTGGCATTGGCACCGGTTGCTGCAATGGGGGCCCCAGTGGTCGCTGTCGCAGCCTGTAAGAGAGGAGCGGGTCAGGGCAGAGGGATCCCCGTGGACTCTGTTTGGGATGGGGGCTGGAAACAGCCTTCCCATCTCTGCATTGCTCTTCCCCGGATAGGAGGCGGCAAGGGGTTTCTGGATGGAAGCTTTGGAGATTTATAGCTCCATCAGCTCCTTGCCAAGCCCCACTCCACCCCCAAATAATCATCCAAGCTCAGAAGCTTCTTTCCTCAATGCGTCTCCCAGTCAGGGTCATTCCATTCCAACCACGCCTCTCCAGAGCCCCCTCTCCGGTATTGAAAGTCTGGAACCACAAGTTATTTTACCTTTGCTGAAACTCTTCTTGGTTGGCTCTCTCTTCCTCTCAGCCAGGCCCCGTCTCTTCCAGGGTGCCTCCCCTCTTCTCCGTGACCCTCCTCCCCTTCTTGGTGCCTCCCCAGCCCAGCTCCCATCTCTCTCTCTTTCCATCTCTTCCTGAAACATTAGTTCTTCTCACCTCTTGCATCTCACTCTCTGTGAACAAGTCTTCTAACGCCCTGCCCCTCCGCCGGCTCCATCTCCCTGTCACCGCCTCCACCCTCATCTCTCTTTCATCCTGCGTCTCCCTAACAGTAATGCCTACACCTCCTGGTTCCTTCATCCTCAGTTCAATTTCATTACTTTCCAAGCAGCCAACTTCAGAAGGAGCAGGAAAAAAGAAATATTTCCCTGGGAGGTGACAGACAGCCTTGAAGATCTTTATATGTAATTAAATGTTTCAAAGAGTGATATCTGAGCCAGCTTTGCAGCAATTCACACGCTGCGGTGGGGTGGAGGGGGGAAGGGACTGAATGGCAGTCCTCAGGTAGGTCACCCAGCCTGCTGCCACTTCCTGGTCTGACCCTCACTTGATGCATACAGGACACACAACAGCAAGACATCCTTCAACTATAGCCTCATTCACTCAAATCCTGGAGTAGAGGTGCGTGTGGAGTTCAGGCAAGGACAGGCATAAATAATGTACTAGGAGATGTCCCATAGAGAAAAAGACTGCTCCCAGCTAAGGAAGCAGGCAACATTTCCTGGAAGAGAAGCCATCTGAAGTGGGCTGTAAAAGATGTCTCCCTTGTCTGACAATCAGAGTGACTAACTGTCCCAGTTTCACCATTGAAAGTCCCTCATTCTGAGAAATCCCTCTGTGCTGGGCAAACTGGAATGGCTAGAGACCCTACTGCCTGAAGACAAGGAGATGATTAGTTGACCTTTGTGCTCCAGTGACTGTAGGGTTTAGCCACTCAGAGAGGAAAGGAGGCAGGTGAGTAGGATTGGGGAAGGTGTCCCTGGGAAAGGCTCAGTATGAGCAAAGAGACAGTGGTACTTGAGTGCTGGGTATGTACAAAAGCACAAGGTTCTAGTGAAGCCAGTGAGTACATGGGATCTTTGGAAACTAAAAGGTTGATGGAAGAATCACTCTACCAGCCCCACCAACCCTCCTGCATATACTTCCCACTTGCTGACCAGGGTCAATTGGTCAAAGTCATGGAAACTGTCCATTACTTTTAGTAGATGGAACCACACTAGGCCTGGAATCCCAATCACCCTATATTGCTTCATCCCTTCTTCATTGTGCCCCAAATATACACACATACAAACCGAGCTGCCAAATTCTGAGCAAGACTCACCCTGCATTTTCTACCTGGTACTACAGTAAGTGAGTCAAAAACCAAGTCCAATAGCCAAAACAATTTTGAGAAAGATGAACAAAGCTGGGGGCATCACACTTTCTGATTTTAAATTATATTACAAAGCTATAGTCATTCAAACAGTATGATATTGGCATAAAAACAGACACATGGGTCAATGGAACAGAATACAGAGTCCAGAAAGAAACCCATATGTATACAGTCAACTAATTTATGACAAAGGAGCCAAGAATATACAATGGGGAAAGGACAGTTTCTTCAATAAATGGTGTTGGGAAAACTGGACAGCCACATGCAAAAGAATGAAACTGGACCCCTATCTTACACCATATGTAAAACTCAACTCAAAATGGATTAAAGACTTGAATGTAGGACCAGAACCAAAAACTCCTAGAAGAAAACATAGGTAGTAAGCTCCCTGATATTGGTTTTGGCAATGATTTTTTGGATTTGACACTAAAAGCAAAGGCAAGTGAAGCAAAATCAACAAGTGGAACTACATGAAACTAAAAAGCTTCTGCACAGCAAAGGAAACGATCAACAAAATGAAAAGGCAACCTATCAAGTGGGACAAAATATTTGCAAATCACATATCTGATAAGTGTTTAATATCCAAAATATGTAAATAACTTATACAATGAAATAGCAAACAAACAAACAATCTGATTAAAAAATGGGTAGAGGATCTGAATAGATATTTTTACAAAGAAGACATACAGATGACCAACAGGTACTTGAAAAGGTGCTCATAACCATCAGGGAAATGCAAATCAAAATCACACTGAGGGGACTTCCCTGGTGGTGCAGTGGTTACGAATCTGCCTGCCAATGCAGGGGACATGGGTTTGAGCCCTGGTCCAGGAAGATCCCACATGCTGTGGAGCGACTAAGCCTGTGCGCCACAACTACTGAGCCTGCATTCTAGAGCCCTCGAGCCACAACCACTGAAGCCTGTGTGCCTAGAGCCCGTGCTCCACAACAAGAGAAGCCACCGCAATGAGAAGCCCACGCACTGCAATGAAGAGTAGCCCCCACTTGCTGCAACTAGAGAAAGCCCGTGCGCAGCAACGAAGACCCAACGCAGCCAAAATAAATAAATAAATAATTTATTTATTTAAAAAAAAAGAATGCATAGATTAAAAAAAAAAAATCCACACTGAGATATCACCTCAAACCTGATAGACTGGCTATTATCTAAAAGACAAGAAATAACAAGTGTTGACAAGGATGTGGAGAAAAAGAAACCCTTGTGCATTGTCAGTGGGAATTTAAGTTGGTGCAGCCAGTATGAAAAACAGTATGGAGGTTCCTCAAAAACTTAAAAATAGAACTACTGTCAAATCCAGCAATTCTACTCCTGGGTATTTATCTGAAAGAAATGAAAACATTAACCTGAAAAGATATCTGCACCCCCATGTTCACTGCAGCATTATTTACACTAGCCAAAACACAGAAGCAACCTAAATGTTCATCAGTGGATGAACACACACACACATATATACACATACACACACACAATGGAATATATTTTTTTATAATTTTATTTACTTATTTATTTATGGCTGTGTTGGGTCTTCGTTGCTGCGCACGGGCTTTCTCTAGTTGCAGCTAGTGGGGGCTACTCTTTGTTGTGGTGCACGGGCTTCTCATTGCGATGGCTTCTCTTGTTGTGGAGCATGGGTTCTAGGCACGTGGGCTTCAGTAGTTGTGGCACGTGGGCTTCCGTAGTTGTGGCTCACAGGCTCAGTAGTTGTGGTGCACAGGGTTAGATGCTCCACAGTATGTGGATCTTCCTGGACCAGGGCTCGAACCCATGCCCCCTGCACTGGCAGGCAGATTCTTAACCACCGCACCACCAGGGAAGTCCCACGCAACGGAATATTATTCAGCCATGAAAAAGAAGGAAATCTTGCCATTTGTGACAATATGGATAGACATTTTGAGGGCATTATGCTAAGTGAAAGAAGTCAGACAGAGAAAGACAAATACCATATAATCTCACTTATATGTGGAGTCAAACAAACAAACAAACAAACATCAAACTCATAGATACAGAGAACAGATTGGTGGTTGTCAGAGGCAGGGAGTGGGCAAAAGGGGCAAAGGTAGTCAAAAGGTACAAACTTCCAGCTACAAGATAAATGAGTTCAGGGGATGTAATGTACAGCATGGTGACTATAGCTAATAATTCTGTATTGTATAGTTGAGAGTTGCTAAGAGAGAAGATCTTAAAAGGTCTCATCATAAGAAAAAAACAACTGTAAACACGTGTGATGTTAACTAGACTTAGGGTGGCGATCATTTCGCAATATATACAGATGTTGAATCATTACGTTGTAACCTGAAGCTAATATAATGTTATATGTCAATTCCATCTCAATTTAAAGAACCGAGTCCAGTTTTCATTACAACCTGCACTCACACCGAAAGAGGCTCACAGGACAGAGAGTGTTGGAGCACCCAGCAGTCCGGTGTCTGCCACGTCACCTTCTCTCTGGGAGATCTACTCAGTGAGTAGAAAGACAGCAGAATTACCTACTGTATCATTTCTCTATCTCTTTTTGTTGTCAAGCATATGTAGTTAAATTTGCATGAGTTTAACGTACATATGATGTGACTCCATGGTAATAATAATAATAATCACCACATTTTAAATGTTCACTTGTGACATTTAAAACCATGTGAATTAGGTTTTATTATCTCTCCATTTTACAGATGGGGACATAAAGGGTCAGAGAGATTATGTGATTGCCCAAGGTTAGAGTCAAGGGCAGGCCACGTTTTCTGGCTCCAGCACTCTCCACTGGAGGTGCATGTGACACTTTCTGAATGATGATTCTGAGGAGCGAGATTTAAGAGATGCCATTGGGGACAAGGTGGCAGTTGCAAAGCACGAGGACCGGGACACCACAGAGACTAAACACATCCTCCCCACTCATCACTATGAACAGCCCTGGGACCCAGAACAAGAGATTCCCCTCATTGTGCTGGCATAGTCACTGCCCTCAGACGTTGGCTCTGTACTCAACTGCTGGAGTCCACAGCCAGCTTGCCCTTGGTGCATCCCAGGGCAGACAGTTATGCTTTACTTATCAAACGGGACCTCCATTCACTCTGTCACAACCAAACTCAGTAAGAAGCAAAACTATGCCTCTGATAAGGGAGCTGGATATTGTCATGAAGCCCATGCACTAACACCTGGGTGCTTTCGTTCTTCTACTCGTTCATTCAACCCAGCACCCGCGAGGGCCAGAAAGTGTCCCTCCCTCTTGGAGTGTATAGTGGGTGGGGACAGAGCAACGAGAGCAGCATTTAAGGCTGACTGCAGAAGG